GTCCCTTCTTCCTGCAGTTTCCATCGCACCTGTCCTGTAAAGTGTGGAACTTTGGTATTATATGTTTTTTGTTATTACGTTGAAAAATGCAATGCGAATGACCTTTTTGATTCATTTAAATAATACATTTTCTCGAATGTACCGATATTTAAATTGAAGATTTAATGTAAGGTAACAGATTAACAATACTTAGTGATTGGCATTACACTCATAAAGGAACAATAACATATATTAAAAGGCTACAAACGCATTTCCTGTCTTGTAAAACTAATCGCTAATAAGATCGGAATATTTAAATTTACCAACAAAACACGTATTTAGTTTTTAATTAAATTAATAACATTGCTTAGAAGTTATTTCATCATCATGATAAATTCGCGAAGCGTTTATATTAATGCGCTTAAAAAGGAACTGTTAAGTTATGGCGTTTTGTATATTAATAATTATTAAATAATAAAATAAGTAATGTAGTAATTTCAAATAGCCTCGATGTCATCTGGTATAACAGAAGGTCGCTCATAAAGTCAGTTTTCAATGAAAAGGAACCTGGTCCAGCAGTAAATTGCAACCTTACCTTGAAGTTGACTTCAATTATTAAGCACTTAATAAGTCATTGCATATCGTAAGTCTATCTACCCACAAACTCAGTGGCTATGATTGATTGCCTTTATATGTGTCATTAACAATATAGTTATCTCTTTATTAGATTACTCGTTTTATCAGTTTTACCTGGTCTAGTACGGCCCTGGTTTTTGCGCTGTTTGCAAATGTTTATGTTTACAAATCAAGATATATTTGTATACATGCGTATACAAATATAAGTATACGTCGTGTGTTTGTTCCATTGTGATTTACCAAAAATACCAATGTACTAAGGTAAGATGGCTTAATTATTGTAATACAAGTTAGTCCAGGACATGTATCACTAGTTCGATGTATAGCAAGGTGTAAGTTTGAAATAAATTTGTCTGAAATTATAATATTTAATGAAGTGGTCATAAAATACCGTATTACAAAATGTATAAACTTTGTAAGTATTATAACGACGTGGTTATAAAAGTTTAGTCGAAACTATAATACCTGTCGCCCTTAACTCCGTATACGCCGAATAAAATCTTAATTAGTAGCCTATGTGTTCTTCCAGAATATGTTCTATATGTATGCCAAATTTTACTGAAACCCGTTTAGCTGTTCAGGAGATATCTATCCATACATCTAAACTTTCGCATCTAAAATATTAGCAATATAAAATGTCAATATGATCCTTCCAGCGTTGAAGTCTTTACTATGCTGAGTTTGTGTTGTTTTAACTAGAAACCGTTCGCAGCAACAACATAATATATCTAGTATCCGCTTTAAGATGGTACTGTTTTGTGTGACATTCGTGGAACGTGACAATAGCACGAAAGCATACCCAACGTGCGCTTAGAAGCGAAACGTGCTGTTACCACTTCCGATGCGATTGTTAATTTGACACGATCAACCACGACGTATACGTACCGAACGATAGTCATCATACACTGCAAATTGTTAGTAATTTAATTAATATATCTAATAGTAGAATGTCATTCAAGTAATTTGTTTAAAAAGGATAACATTGTTGGATTAGAAATATAATCTAACTTCTTACTAATGTTATAAATGCGAAAGTTTAGATGGATGGATGTTTAGTAGACGGAATCGCAGGAACTGATCAACGGATCTTGATTAAACTTGACACATAGCCTAGATGAACACATTATTAAGTTTTTTTTTAATTTCGCACTGACAGAGTCGCGGGCGACAGCTAGTAAAGTATAGGTATTGTGCGTAAAATTAAATGTTTTTAATAAAAATAAACATTTACCGTAAGTTCGTTGTAGCTTTGTAAAATAAACATGATATGTATCGAACAGTTTCGATCCGAATTCACTTTTACCTGTCTGAGAAGTGGGCATTGTTGTTCGTGCTCATATAAATTTGTTTTTGTGTATGTAGATTTGTATGTATGTAAATTCCATTACGATGGCCTTGAGCCTAAACCATTGACGAGTGAGGTGTCATTGATTCGTCGTCTTCCCCGAAGTGTAATATAATATACCACATCAGCACAAAACATACAGTCGACGTAAGAAATACAATTTTAAATTATTGAAAAACGAGTTCGAATCTCACTCCACATAACTTTTTTTACATTGATTGTTTTTTCGACGTTTTAGAACTAACTAGAATATAATGTAAAACAAGAAAATGTACTTTAATTACAGCTTATTTTGCATAGTTATATTATTAAAATATTAGCTTTGAAATTCAGACAATAGATGGGGCTATAGGTCCATTAGAACCTATCATTCGTGTTTTTTTGTAGTTAAATTAAGGCGAGATTATATTAATGTTATTTTGATGTTCATATTTTTTTATAGACTGATCCGGCATCTGATATAGTCAGTTATTAAAATTGGATTTACTATAAAATTTACAATACCGTTCTCTCTGGGGCTTATTTACTATAAGTCTTATAATATGTCGGCCATTATAAACAAACTGACAGATAAACAATCCTGAAAAAGTCTGTCTGTTTTATCTTCTAAATACAAGCTACGATTGCGTACCTTCTTATGTATAAAATTCTCGTATCAAAATTTTCGTTCCCATACTCCTCCGAAACGGCTTGACCGATTCTCATGAAATTTTGTGAGCATATTGAGTAGGTCTGAGAATCGGCCGACACCTATTTTTAATCCCGCGCGGACGGAGTTGTGGGCGACAGCTAGTTTTAGTATAAAAGAATAGTATGTTGTTTATATTACATTTTCGATAGTAGACGGAAAAATATACAAGTTGATGACTACATGTGAACAAGTTATTCCACCATTTCGCCCCCCTTTCTCTCAGCCATGTGTTATGTGACGTAAGACTTGGAATTCTCTTTAATCACTCATTCCGTATGCGAAATCTGCAAACGTTCACGATTTTTAAGGACAGCGAGTGCCGCAACTCGCTTACATTGCTCGCACTTCCGCCATGAATACGCTACGCACAAAACTGTAGTAACTATCTTGTTAAAAACATTGTGCATATCTGTAACTGATAGGATTATTCAGTCGTATCTATAAATATGTTTACAAAAGCATACAGCAACATTAAAAATACAACATTTTATACCTATCAGACATGAAGTTAATAGTCAAATAATCTTACTAATATTATAAATGCGAAAGTTTGGATGATTGTTAGATGGTATTCTCAGAACCGCTGCATGGATCTCACTGGAAATTTGACTGTAGAACATAGCCTGGAAGAACACATAAGCATTTAATTGTTTTTATTCCCGCGTAAACGGAGTCGCGGGCGACAGCTAGTATTTTATGCGTATAAGAATCTCGTGTCTTAATGTATTTGGTAAACTCCAAAACTACGAAAACTATATTGGTGAAATATCGTAACAATGTGTAATTGAGTCGAAGTTAAAAGATGATATCTTTTTTTACTGAAGTAACTGGTACGGTTGAAGTTAGGGCACATCTCTTGAACTATAAAGTATACGTCGTTAGCAGTACATTAGTGATCTTTGGAACTACTTAAACACTCGCAGTTTGCAAGCGTGTTAAAACAAATGAATCGGTACAGTGAAGTTCTAGATAAATATACATATGGTAACCATTGACATTTCCATTCCGCATTTACGTATTTTGTCTCTTAATGTATTTTATATGATATTACGTTCGCTTTGCATTAATATTGTAAACTCTGATCTTCATGTTTTTTTTCCTTTGCGCAAATCTTATGTAATCACCATTTATACTAGACTGATTTAACGGTGTGGTCGAGATTATTGTATTTATGTAATTCATGACCCTAATGTTCCAAAAAATATGTTAATTCCTTAAAATGTAGGACATCTAAAAACAAAAACTGCACAACACCGATTCAAATGACATTTGGGACAAATGTTGCGAACACATTTCGTCCTTATAAATATGTATTTAGAACTAATTCCATCTTTATATTAATATCAATTTATAACAGACTATAAGACTTAACAACACGAAAAATTAGGTTAGGGTTTAACAGGCAGATGCTAGCTATAGCAACATGTATTCACGAATAGGCCGGCTCGCCCGGTGCAATACCACGACCACACAGAAGACAGGCGTTAAAGTCATTCCGCATTCCGTCTGAAAATTGTGCGTGCCGGAGTCCTAATTTTAGTTCCTTTCCATTCCTTTTTCATATAGGGATAGGATATTTGACGGAGGAGGGAAAGCATAGGACGGGAAAATATCCTCGTTCCGTGCACCCCTTACCCGTCGAACGGTAGGCAACGCAAATGCAATTGATGATGTCTATAGACCGCGGTTGTTTTGTTATTTCGGCAAGTAAAAGAAGGCGTTTCTTTAATGATGCCGATAATTTTCTGACCCCGGTTAAAAAGGTCATTATAAAGTGTTTAAGGCCGTTATTAAAGGTCTTTGCCTTTATTCAATTATTTTTAATCGCTTTAATACTTAAAATGAACCAATTTAATCCACTTCCGATCATCTTGTTGCGTTAGTAATATTTGTGATAATAAAAACACTTTCAGTTTCCCATCGGCCTTCATGCAGCGTTAAGTTTTTTTGCATTTATATCTTAAATACGATTAAATAGATGGTGTATACACATTCCTGGATCAAGGGTTTATGCTTGTTATATAATTCAGTCATGCAAACTTAAATTTACGAAACCGGCGTTCGTCTGAAATAGCTGCACGCCGCCGAACAAAACCAACATCCATTCACCGCCACTTATCCGATGTTAGCTTCATAGCCTAATTGTGGAAACACCTCGCTCGGCTCTTCCAATTAGTACAAGAACCGCGTAATTAATAAAGTCGAATGGAATGTATTTAAGTACATTTACAGCTCTAAAAAATAACTACGTAAAGAATATTTTTTACTGACCCGGTACTAAATTCTGAAACCACATATTTGGTTACTTAATTCTTTCTGTTACTAATTTAATGTATCTCTTTGTTGCAGATTTTTAGTTGCTAGATAGAAACCAGCAAAATGGAAACCGTTTATGATTGGTATAGAGACCTTATGGACAACAAAAGTGGTAAGTTTGTAACATATATTTTTAAAACCCATTTTGCTTGTTTGATCGTGAAAACGATTATTTTCTTCACAAGTGCTTACTTTTAGACAGGGATATCTGTTCTACAAATTCCTCGTACAAGATTTTGCTTTTCTTTTTTTGAATGTACTTTTCCTGGATCACAATATTTAAAAAGAACGTTACCATTATTATGTAAATTTCATACTTCGTTTTAGCGAGGCTTTAGATAATTAATTACCCAATTGATTTATAAATTCAATATATTTACTGAAATTCGCAGCAATAGATGAAGCCGCGTGGTTCAATTGTAATTTAGTAACAATTTTTAGTTTTGATATTTTTAAAATACGGTAATTAACACGCGATTGCGTGACAAATAGCTTTCAGTATTTAGGGTACTGGTGTATTACACGTAATAAAAAAGATGTATGATCGTTGAAACCATTAATTATTTAAAATATTACTTTCGCCTGTGTCTCTAAGGACAATATTAATGGGGAGTAATCTGAATAGTTTTTGCTTGAGGCAATGATACTTCTATGTGCATAAACTAGCTCTCACCCGCGACTTCGTCAGTTCATTAATAATAAAAAAGTAGCCTTATTGTTCCCGCGTGCATCACCTACCTTACCGTCCAAGTCCTGTCAAAATCGGTTCAGCCGTTTCGGAGATAACCTAGAACAAACGCGGCCTTGTAGAAAGACATACAGACCTATAGACAAAAATGTCGAGAAATGGTTTTTCGTTATCAGCAACGCAAATACATCGCATCGCATATGCGAAATATGAATTTTTTCTTGCTGTAACGTAAAGACACTTCAATTTTTCATAAAAGTTTAATATTTAGATTATTATTCGTATAATTTTTTTGCAAATCATCAGAGCGGTGTTAGTTGCATAATTACTATAATAATTAATTGTAATTTCGCAACGTTCCACAAACTGGATGTTAGTAAATTTAGGCGGATCGAGTCGAATTAACTTTCGTTTGACCGGCTCGTAGCCGGGCAGCGTCATCTGTGGCGTTTGCTCAACGATGTTACGTAAACCGACGCTGATCTAAACTCAGCTGATGTAGCATCACTACCGTAACGTAGCCCCTCCCCTGCTGTACGCCACTAGGTTACGACTGGGACTTTCCATAAGCCCGAGTTTTTACTAAGCGTGCATCTGGAACACGTAACACGTTGTGCAATGACACAATAAACAAACCTATCGACATGTGCAAGGGTCTTTACAGTTATTTATTTTAACCTATTTTTGATATAAAAATCTCAGTCTACCTGCCTTAGAATCTCTTTGTTATCAACATCTCCTTGTCCTATATTCGTTCCTTATAGTAGTTCGTTCGTTATATTAGTAGAGATACAGACATATGCTTGCAAAGGTTTTACTTCTTGCACTACGATGAATACAATAAAATAATTAGCATAAAGATTAATAAAACTTTGACCTCTTTATTGTCTTAAAAATAAACATTTTATGTTAATTTAAGAGCAAGCCAAGTAAGGTCAGTTTTAAACCATTTATTATTTATTTGTCACATAACCGAAACACTTACGACAAATACTACTGATTAAATTAATAATAAAACTTTTAAAATGTTGTTATGTTACAAACATGTAGGTTACAAGTATGTATGTTCCAAGATATTTCATTTATCATAGAATTAGTGCGACGTTTTCATGAAGATTCATTTAATTTTCTCTCAAATATTTAAAAAAACCACGTCGGTGAAATTTATTAGATTCTTCATGTTACCATTCGGAAATTAAATAGATGTATAATATATTAAAATTTTTATATACCTATATGTAATACACAGTGGAATATTTTTACTATTAATTTCTATTTAATACAAGTATTGTAGACTGACATGTGATATGATAATTAAATTACCTTCAGTACGCATAAAATACTAACATCATCAATAATATTACTAATACTTATAAACACATGTAATCCTTACATGTGGTAATCCTTCTATGAATATTATGAGATGTATTTTGAATGTAACGAATAAATAAAATAAGCTTTATTTATTACTTTATTTTATTTTATTTTATTAAAAAAAGACAATTGCAATATATTTGTATAGGTGCAAACTAATTGCATGCCTAACATTATAATTTTCTTTAATTAACTTATAATGCACTTAGGCGATGACGATAGAATATTAACTAATGATTAAATTCACTGTTGTGTAAAGTAATTTACTATAAGACAAGCTGTCGCCCGGGACTCGCGTCTGCGCGATATTAAAAATACAGAATTAGTAGCCAATGTGTTCTTCTATATGTATGCCAAATTTCATCGAGATCCGATCATCCGTTCTGGCGATACCTTTGTTTGAATGTCCATCCATCTAAACATTTGCACTTATAATATTAGTAAGATTACTTAGTATAGTTAAAATAAAGTCGTCTATTTACACAGGTAATACATTAATCTATACATTAAAGGTGGTACACATTCTTACAAGTGTATGTCTTGTCTGTATTTGTCTCCAAGGCTTGCTCTTCAATCAATTATCAATTGCCCAATGACCGTAGTCATTTTATTTGTAACGGTAGCAGGCACATCTTTTCAAATAACTATACATCAAGTATAGATCAATTTCATTGTAGAAGTAATGATAGGCTAGGAAATATTATGTATCTTACTATTAGTATTAGAAATGCGAAAGTTTAGATGTATGGATGGACCGATGGATGTTTGGTAGAAGGAATCACAGGAACGGCTCAACGGATCTTGATGAAATTGGTCGCAGATGTAGAACATAGTCTAGAAGAACACAGCTTGTGCACCAATCAATAATTTTATTTTTAAAATCTGCGCGAACGGATTCGTGGGCGGCACCTGATGTATCACAATATGACTTTCATTTGATGATTTTCACTACAATAGCTAAGCCGCTGCATAGTTTCAGACGTTGTTTTTTCCATCTCTGAATAACATTCATTTCAAATAAAATAATATTTGTAGTTCTTCTACTGCTGCTTAAATAATGAAAAAACTTCATTGTGAACATTAATTTCATAATTGAATTTCATTTTGTTTGTACATAAACGAAAAATAATTTGGAAGGAGCGGCTTTGTTAATTAAATTAATTTGTCCTCAAGAGACATGCCTTGTCCAGTTTCAATGAAATTGCTCTATTTATCTGTATTAAAAAGGTATTTTTACGTAAAACGGAAATTAATTGTGTCAATGTCTTTTTACTGCGGACGAGGTTATTTCGAGTATTTTCATGGGTATATCCCGTTGGGCCGATCGGACATTTTATATAACAGACTAGTAGTTGCTCGCGATGTCGTCCGCGCTTAACTATAAAAAAATCTAGTAATAAATAATTTCCTGTTTCAAATATAAGTGTAGATAAGTTCTAATTTTTTTTAATTTAAATTTACCCTGAGTTCCCTTGTTTCGAAGTTTTCCTCCTCAAGTTTACTTTTTACAAGTGGAACTTAGATCACTTAAGTCAAACATCCGTATGTTGAGTTTATGAGGAAAATTTACATTATAAGTATATAAGATGTACACATACTAAGAATATATGCTGTATTGCAATATAATGTAAAATATTTAATACATTAGTATATAAATAAAATAGACTTTGACTTGATAAGATTGTTTGTAAAATTAAAATGTCTTGTCTTAAGTATTTTCTTTAAAATGTTTCGTCGCTTACATGTTCCTAAACCTTTAAACAAATTTGATGATATATAAAAATATAATTAGTAAGAACATACATACGAGCGGAAAATTATGCTCGTGTCTTGTATAAAAGAATAAAGTGCCTATTTCCAATAACCGTTGGAAAGGCACGTTCTCTGCGCAGCTCGAGTGCAGCTTCTACAAGGGATGAATGCGTTGTTCTGTCTAGTCGGCACTTTCCCTAGACTCTTTCTAACTTTGTATACGACTTTTTTCAAAGTTAAGAGCGCAAAATCGCTGTATAAAGATACTAGCTGTAAACCGCGACTCCGTCCGCGCGGAATTAAAAAAATTATAATAAATGAGTAGCATATGTGTTCCTCCAGACTATGTTCTATGTCTGTGCCAAATTTTATCAAGATATGCTGAGCCGTACCATCCATCCATCCATCCATCTATCCATCTAAACATTGGCACGATTATATTACGAGCATCTTAAATATTTTTTCTTTCATAATATGTTTTTCCACATAAAATAAATATTCAACTTTTTCATACTTTCTTCTTTTGTTTTAGACCCTCGAGTGAACGAGTGGCCGATGATGTCGTCTCCGTGGCCAACATTGGCCGCTTGCTTGTGCTACGCATTCTGCGCTATAAAATTGGGACCAACCTTAATGGCCAACCGCAAGCCATTCGAACTCAGAAATGTGCTCGTCATTTACAATTTCGCTCAGACCGTATTTAGCGCATGGATCTTCTACGAGGTAAAATTTATTTCCTGTAAACAATAAGATTTCCTTTTTTTTAAACAAAACTTTTAACAAAACAAATGCGTTATAAATACTTATCTATATTACGTAACTAAAACCAAGTATATAATATTTACACACAATATCAATTGATTTACATTGTTTTTAAATTATGTAAATTGTCGATTATAATAAAATGCTTTTAATGGATTGTTATCAATAATAAGTGATGAAAAATTTTTACACTTGATATTAAGTACTGGCCTTGTCCCTGAGTAGGTTCACAGTCGTAGATGTTAAGACCTTATTCCACTAGCGCGGGTGTGACTCGTACAAATGGCAGTTGTGTGACTAGCCGTTTATTTAAAAAAGGGTCTAAGAATCACTCGAGACAAGCCACTTTAGTAAAATTGAATTGAATATTTAGTAACTTATTTATGATGTTGTTTAATTGTTAAACTTATAAAGTTCGATCTACGTCCCGAGTGAAAAACACTTTTCTAAAATTCTTGTGGTCAGATGTTTTACGATATTATAATAATAATTTCTTGTTTAAAATAAATTTATCAATATTACAAAGCGTGACACGACATTGTCGTAAAATATAGCGTGCAAATAATTTACTTTTAAAACTACACTTTCTCAGAGATAAGAATAATGTCACCATTATAAGTATAGCAAAACTTATTTATCTATGTCCACCAGGTTAGTTCAATCTTAGACCCATTTTCCACTCGACTCGTCGCATCACGCTGATTGCGATTATCATAGGAAAGGCAGTTGTGTACTTTACTCATTCAATGAACAATCGCACAAAAATTACGTCGCGTTAGTTGAAAACGGGTCTTAAAGTCTGTCATCTTATAGCTACATGATATCGCAATGAAAGAACATATGTATGTAAGTGCATGCGAACGATTAACCTTCTTTTGATATGCCAAAACAAGCGTTATATAATCTGCGAATAAGTTAATCACACCCAGTGGGTAACCGCAATATTTTTAATGTTCTCTAATATGCCTGTACAATTTGATTTAAATATACGTACGATGCATTCCCACATTATGGTGTTCATCAAGCATTATTATACTTAGGTAATAATGTTACGTCTTGTAGATGAGATTTTTTGTAAGAAAACTAGTGCATTTACTTACCTAGCGAGATTATTTTTAATGCCATAACAACCTTAAAAGGTTGATTTTGAAAGTAAAAAAAACTTCGATTTACATTATAAAAACATAGTAATAATAAACATAGTATCAATATAAGTGGCGACAAGGGTTTGTGTTCAATTCTGTGAATGCTAAGAAGCTCGTAGATTTTTGTATTTTGTGTTTCTTATTCGAAAAATTTTGGCACATTTTATGGTGCAACATATTAACGAATGTCGGCCGCACTGTTTGTGTTTTCAAAGGCACGGTCAGCATCATTAATGAATCGCCAGCGACCTACTTGCAACTCGTATGAATTTTAATCTATTATTTCCTAACCGCGCTCGCTACGGCCATGTTACGTCTATGCCACTATTAATAATTACTCATTGATCCTGTTATGTAAGATTGCTTCTAAGGAAATTTCTCGTTCTCAACTCGCTCCGAGCTCGAATATCTGATGATGCACTTTATATTCACTATTAACTTTTCGTCTTCAATTATGCAAAGAATAAAGATTGAATACGGAAATAGTGAACTAATTATAATAATCACTTTAGTTTTCTATTTATAAAACAGCTGAATACAAACACATCAATCTCTTCTTGCAAATCTATGGTTATAAAATTGACACGGTTAAAATGTTTAATAAATGTCGACGCTTCTTTTACGAAAGAGGATATGCGTAGGGGATCGATTCAGATATGACGGCCGATAGAGATGTATAGAGGAGTAGTACATACTGTGCTCCTCCATAAGTATAAGGGCAGGTTAATGATGAAGCCGATGCTTTTTTTACGAATGCTTAAAAATTACTTTTATGTTAAACAATTGTAAATGATATAACCGTAAATTGATAACACAGGACCGATAATCGTAGCGATCTTTGGGGGAGGCCTATGCCCAGCATTGGGCGGCATATAGCTGAAAAGAAAGAGAAAGAGAGGGAGAGATTAATAACAAAAGATTAAAATGTTATAAATAAAATTTATTAATATTCGCAGTATCTGATGAGCGGTTGGCTGGGCCACTACGACTTCAGATGTCAACTAGTCGATTACTCGCGACACCCCCGAGCTATGAGAGTAAGTGAAATATTTTATTATTGTAAATTCTTTAGATTATCTTGCTAAGATTAATCTCATATCAGATTATATCTTTAAGGCAACTAAATCAGATACCTGTAATTACTATATTTATAGATTTTTTTCGTTTGGTTTATGTTTGTACAAAAAATTGTTGTAAGTAGATTTTGTTGGGATTTTCCATTCCGACCGCTTATCCCAGTCAAAAAAGTTAATGGTCATTTTTCTCAGAATATAATTACAATGTAACCACCTTCCGTATTTTATATGCACTTTTAAGCGAAATATTCTGTTATATAGCTGACATAAATGAGAACTTATTAGGTATTTTTATAGTACATTTTATTGAAATGCAATATAATATAAAAAAACTAAAGGCACTAAAGTTTCTGTCTGTAAAAAATGATCATTAGCGTTCATAATAAAATCGAATGTTAATAAGTAAGAAACATGTAAACAGTTTTATACTGCTATTGTTTCAGTCACGAGAAAAATTTAAACAAAAAATATGGTAAAAAGTGCCAAAGAACTAAGATTTTAAAAATATTGTGCGCAAATGAATAAATATAATGTTTTTGTATAATATTATTCCGACCATTAATCGTATTTAAACAGTTAAGATTTAACTACAGTTTACAAAAAAGTTCAACTTTGAATAAATTGTTATATATTGAGTTAATTTAAAGCCATTTGTTTCACTTAAGTGTTAATATTAAAAATGACACGTGATTTAATTAATGGTTACCATTGACTATAAAATGTGTTGCTTCCATGAAAAAGTGAGAAATAAGGATAATGGATAATGTATTGTGTTAGCGTCAAATACAATATGTTGTTCGAATAAACAACATTCCGAATATTGATATAGAAATATCCAGTTTACTAACGGTACTAAAAAGAACTGACATCAATATTCCACTCGACAGGCTACAAATCATGGTATTTTATGCTTATTTGTTTTTCGCCATTTTGTCGCTGACGGTAACTGAAAACTCAAAATTGAGGTAGAATGAGCAGAATTAAGACCCTTCATACACAAGCCAACATAAGTCTAAGGAACTAATATAATACTCCGAACACGTAATGTTGAATCGTCGACGCGAGTCGTCTATTCGGTCAGTATATACTCGTACATAGACGCTACGTGTCAACTGTATAGATTTGGTCCGTCATTTTGAAATTCGCAGCAAATTGTCTCGCAATTATCATGACAAACAGGTGGCGAAAGACTGGTTTTGGCGACTACCACTACGGTTCTATTGCTTAAGTCGCTTAGAGACTAAAAGGTAACGTAAATCTTCGAAACCTGGCTAAGGTTTCGAAGATTTACGTTACCTTGTGTACGAAGGGCCTAACTTCAATTGACTTTAAGTTGGAATAAAACAAAAATTGTCGATGGTGTATAGAAATCAGTGCTAAAATGCATGTTTTATGAATAGATGGCGAACACATGTTGGTGGTACTACTTCAGCAAGTTCACTGAATTCTTCGACACGCTGTTCTTTGTATTGAGAAAGAAGAACGAGCATGTGTCGACTTTGCACGTCATCCATCACGGCATCATGCCCATGTCCGTCTGGTTCGGGCTTAAATTTGCACCGGGTAAGTCACACAATTAATACCCCTCTATTTTACGTGACGACAGTTCATTCAAATAAAAAAAAATCCTGGTATATGATACAATATGGAGGAAAAAGAAGTTTTTTTGAAATTTAGTCCAAAATTACTTTCGGACATTCTCTGAAAACCAACTGATTAATAGATAAAGTAATCGAGGCCAACCAATGAACGTTAATTTTTGTTGTAATTATAGGTAATTTTATTTATATAAAACTTAATACGGTTTAAAAATATCTAAAATCAAATATATGCAAAGCGTAGATTTTCACTACGGCGTTAAAAATATTTACACAAACTTCGTATACTTCATGTCACGACAAAAACTAATAAATTATATTTAAAATATAATGAATTGTCACGAAATTATAAATATATTCTAAAATCATTACTTGAATAATCATATAAAATTATTTTTACTAGATATTTGAAAACAAAGAACACTGATACTCAGAGTCGTTTAAGAGAAATCCTCGCTGCCATTATTAGTCTTAATAGTCACTAAGGTAGAATTAAACCAGTCTCTACACGGCACAAAGATATCCTTTTAATGTCTTTTTATTTGAAGTAATACATTTATTCCACGTAATAACCTTCTGCAACTATTAATTTGCAAATGGACCAATTGGAAAAACCTCTCTCTTACAGAAAAACCCGAGATACGTATAATAGTGTTATTTATACGTTGTACGTAAACACAATTTAACTTTGTAAAATTCCGTAATCAAGAATTTTATACGTATAAAAAACATAGGCAGATTTTTTATGTGTTGTTCTACTCTGACTTATCTTTCTATATATATATATATAAAAATCAATTGCTGTCCGTTAGTCTCTCTGAAACACTAAAACGGCTGATCGGATTTATCTTATCTTGATCTCGAAATGTTTGTGGAGGTCCAGGGAAGGTTTAAAAGGTTAGAAAATTCGAATATTTGCCGGGAATTAATTCAGTTTTTTTTTTATTCGGACGGAGTCATAGGCGACAGCTAGTTCTTTATATTTATGCGTGTTCAAGATAAGTAGCTTTTAACATTGGAATACGGAAAACGTGAAATTACTATTATTTTTTCCATTTGTCAAAACAAGTATATGACTTATGTTTGCGTTGACACTTTGAACATTGTAGAGTGTACTGCGCAGTAGGTATTAAGTAATCATTTTTTTATTTTAAAAAATTGCTTTATTACGTCATCTATCGGTAAAAATAAAACCTTCGAAAGGTTAAGACAGTGGAAATCCTCAATTAAAACTCCTGCAAAAAGCTCAAGTTCCACTATCCATCAGTCTTACCTTATTACTAACCGTTGGTTTGACAAAACAGAGATAACAATATGCTTTAATAACGAGATTTTGATCTCGGAAACCCACAGTAAAACAAGTAAATATTTATTATACATACATTTACATGCAAATGATTATTCCAGTTTATAAAACAAATAAAATAAGTTTCCGGTAAACGAGAAAAACTAATATTAATTTAGTGTAAATGTTCACGGTCGTAACTCAGCCGAATATGTAACACAAAATAAATAATTAACATATTATATTAACAAAAAATTATAAAATGTGTTAAGATTAAAATTATATTAATATTGTGCTAAATAAATATGACAAAGCGTTCAAACAGCTACTGACTTAGAGCTATAAGGAAGACTAGGATTAAACATATCTCCAGCTCATGCTAAATGTATAGGCAAACATTACGTGCTTTTTATACGATGTTTGTACTAATAATAAGTTATGAGCAAATCGACAATGGTTTTATCTTAGTGAATACATTTTCTTTATGATTTAATTAGGAAAATACATGTAGAATAATAAAAAGGGTCTTGACAGACAGACGGACGGACAACATAGTCATCCTATAAGGGTTCCGTTTCATTCCTATGAGGTCCGGAACCCTAATTAACGTAATTATAGATGTAAAGGTAACAAAATATTATATCAAACTAATGTCATAAATGCGAAATAGGGTTAAGCGTAAAAATTAAGTCAAAACGTTAAGGTTAAACCCTTTCGAGCCGATCCCACGATGATAAGCTTAGGGAGATAGTGATTATAAATGCGAAATTATGAATGCTTGGATGGATGTTTGTTAGAATGTATGTCTAGAACGACTGCAACGGATCTATCTGATATTTAGAGATGTAGAACATAGTCTGAAAGAATACAAAATTAACTAATCAAGTTTGCTTTTTAATTCCGCGCGGAAGGAGTCGCGGGCAAAAGCTATGTTAATTTAAATACGGAATTCTCCACTTGATTTGTTATACACAAACCGGTTTAATTTTACTGATTACGTATTAAAATATATTAATATATAAACATAATAGCCCTATCCTGTTCTATTGGAATCAAAATTATAAAACTCGTTTTCAAAAGTTTCTGCTAACCTTTATACGGCAAATGAAACGGAAGTTTAAATATTTTATTGTGATATTTGTTATATATAATGCATATTTACTTTATAATTAAGTAATATTATAATATATAACTGTGTAACGTAGTAAAGCTTGTTTTTATTACTTTATGCTACGATAATATAACGAACGAATTTACATTTACCTGCTTTAATAACTTTGAGTCTCTGTATAATATTTACTAGTGGTCGCCCGCGAGTTTCAGTGCAAAAAAAGAACCTAAAATGCTACAGTCCTAAATCGGTCCAATGGTTCCGGACAGACAGACAAAAATAAAAATAAAAAATGTTTCAATATTACATACAATCAGTTAAATTTTATATGTATAGATTACTTACAAAAGGTTTAAAATATACTCAAGAAACAAATTAAATTATTCAAACTTTCGTGAGACATTATACTAAACTGATATATAAACACGGCTAAACACTCACGTATATACGTCCGGTGGCGGCACCGACTAGTTTCGAGCCCATCGGGGGCCCTTCATCAGGATGAGTGGCACTGGTATTATTTCGCGGACGCGAAATAATACCAGTGCCAATAGTACCAGTGCCACTCATCCTGATGAAGGGTCCCCGATGGGCTCGAAACTAGTCGGTGCCGCCACCGGACGTATATACGTGAGTGTTTAGCCGTGTTTATATATCAGTCAAGAAACAAATGTTTAAATTATGTAAATGTAAGATTGAATTAAATTATTAGATATAAAACTTAACACTCCAACACTAAACCCTAATAGTTATTAATACTTCCCAGAAAAAATATTAAAAATATGACTTGTAATATTTTCCGTAGATCCTCAATTAGCATATTCGTAACGGTCATATTATTCCGTCAAAACATTTCTATATTGACTGTTAGTATTGTTTTAGCAACTGTAGTTCGCTGCCAAATAAAAAAAAATGTTTTTGCCATAAATGAAGTAAGTGCTAATTGTTTTAACGAAGGTGAATATTATTTATTAACTAACTGTCGTCCGTTACTCTAGCCGCGCGAAATTATAAAAAAAAATTAAAAGTAGTCTATTTGTTTTTTAAGACTGTGTTCTACATCAATACCAAATTATAGCAATATCCGTGCAGCCGTTTTGTAGATACCTTCAAACAAACATCCATCCATCCATCTAAACATTCGCATTTATATTAGTAAGACTAGCTGTCGTATGTTACCTCAGCCGCGCGGAATTATGAATAAAATAAAAAGTAGTCTACGTGTTCTTCTAGGTTATGTTTTATATATATGATAAAATTTCAGAGAATAGCTTCTAACAAATATCCATCTAAACATTTGCATTTAAAATATTAGTAAGATGTCGTTTCTTATTGACGCAGGTGGTCACAGCACATTCTTCGCGCTGCTAAACACTTTCGTACACATCGTTATGTACTTCTACTACATGGTGTCAGCCATGGGTCCAAGATATCAAAAGTACATCTGGTGGAAGAAGTACCTTACCGCCTTCCAAATGGTAAGTCAGACACACACACACACAGACAGAGAGAGGGAGAGAAAAAAAGATATAAAGGGCTAAATTGTTTACAAAATTAACATACCTAGGGAACCCGCAGTTAAGTGAATCTCCACATGTTTTTGTGGTCGCGTAGTACATAACAAGTACACTAATATGGTAAACCAAAGTACTTATGATCAGTGTATAATCTTTTGTATTGATTATAAGGTCTAGACTCTAGACAAAAGTGTGTCTCGGTCTTTTTTTCTATTGGCTATAGCATTTATGGAATGTTGCGTTGTTTGATTTGAAAAAACAGTATTAATTATTTAGGGAGTTAGAGTTGCTAAGTAAATTGAAAATTATAGCAAGCCTGTTTACCCCGGATTAAAGTTAAACCTTGGTTATACCAACCTTGGTTAACCTTAGAAATAATGGAGCATTTTGTTTGAGCAATATCAATGGATTTATTGCTTGGTTTATGAACACGAGCTTTGATTAAATATAATGATGGGTCAGCCACAAACCTTGTACCCTTCATTATTTACATATAAAACAATTTCAATGTAATAACCATATTAGTGTATTATATGTTAATATTAAATTTATTCAAATATAAAATGTTATGCAATGTTTAGATAATTATATATTTCTTGTAATGCAATTGAGGAAATTACTAAGGACAGGTTGAACAATGCTTACTAAATTAAAATTTGATTGTTCCATTGTAACATGTAACCTCTGACTAGACTCTTTTTATACATAAAAAGTCGGCTAAAAACTAGCTATACAACGATTCCACTTGAAATATTAAATGAAGATATATAAACATAGAGACGAATAGAGAACCTCCTCTTTTTTGAAGACGGTTAATTGTAATTCGTTTCCTTTCGAAGTACCAAGCAAGGTCTAGTTCTCTAGGTTAGTCCTCTTTCCCTTTCCACCCTTTTTCTCTAATAAGAAAAGGATGGGAAGTGGACGTGGACTTTCCGGATGAGAGGGTGCATGGAAAGGGAAAATATTTTTACTTTCTGTGCATTGTGCATGTCCGCCGGTTAAAGATAGGCAACGTATATGCAATTGCGTATGTCTATGTGCAACGGTCACTTCACTATTTCAGCGATTTCAGATGGCCGCTCGCTCGTTTGCTACATTATGATATAAAAAAAATTGCTTATTGTTGCAATCTTTAGATCTAAGCGTTTTTAATTCTTAGTATTACAAACGGTCAAATTTATTTCACCTAGATTTAAATTAATGCTTTGATATGTTATCTTTATATAATTAAGAAGCGTTCCAGTGGTATAATATTGCGTGTGTAATATCACAGGTCCAGTTCGTGCTGATATTCAGCCACCAGCTGCAGGTGTTGTTCCGGCCGTCGTGCCAGTACCCTCGTCCCTTCGTCTACTGGATCGCGATGCACGGCTTCCTTTTCCTCTTCCTCTTCTCAGACTTCTACAAAGCGCGTTACAACAAGGCCGACAGGAAGGCGAAGGCCAACAACGGACTTTGTATGGTAAGTTACATCACGCACTATTTTTATTTGGTTTGTGACCAATTATATCTTCAAAATGTATTTGGAGAAGTACGAAATGGATGAATATAGGTGACTAGCTGTCGACCGCGACTCCGTCTGCGCAGAATTAATAAAAACTTAATTAATAGCGTATGTGTTCTTCTAGACTATGTTCTACATCTGTGCCAAATATCATCGAGATCCGTTCAGCCGTTCTGGAGATACCTTCAAATAAACATCCATCCATCTAAACATTCACATTTATAATATTAGTAAGATCATCATATTCAAACTAGTCTTAAAATTATTTGTTTAAATTTTTACCTGTCCTTGTTCCAGGCTGTAATGAACGAGAACGGGATATCGTTGAATGGAAAGAACGGATACAAGCAGGAAGTGGCGTCAGAAGTTCCCAACTCGTACGCTTCTTCAGCAGCCGACGCCTTCGTCCGCCGGAGACCAATCTCATAGTGCCCTTAGTGATACTGTAGCTTTAAACCGGGACAGTCTCGAAGTTTCCATGAGACGGAGGTCACCAAGTGTTCGCTTTAAATTGACTAGGTATTGTTACTTGGCAGTGTGTCATCTCGGTGGCATGGATGTACAACATGTCAACCGCCCGTGTTCAACGCCCACAAAGTGGACAAATCGACTCTCAATCTATCTAGGGTTGGCAATTGAATATCGATACAAATTATCGATATTCATCTCGGAAGCAAAAACATATCGCTTACCGATCTATCGATTGTCATATGAGAAAATATTTTTGGATTTTAATGAAATTGTCTTTAAAAAAATTAGATCAAATCGAGAGCGTTAAAGGAAATATCCAAAACTTTTTTTTTAATAAATGGTAAATAATTATTATTCAGATTGCTTTCCTGTTTAACTGAATGTTATTATGAATTTCGATAAAGATTTTATCATGGTTATATTGTATCGATATAAATTGATATTGCGGCGCCGATGTTATCGATAATTGTAATTGATTTTATCGATATAAAGATCCAGCCCTATCTATGTGCACAAAACGCTATGAATCTTTCGAAAGCCTTATATTATTTAAGTACAAAGTTTTTAAGAGAAAACTATCAAATTGTTAATTGAATCGTGTTTGGTACTAGTTGTATTGTGTTGGTATGTTCTGCGGTGAATTTAACTGTCGTACTCAAGGTCATTTCATGGTTACTTAAACAGTACTTAGGGTAGATTTCTTTATATCTACACTGAGTACGCTAGTGATCATTTGATGACAGATTGCGGCGGTAAATCTGCATTTTGTATCTAATTGTCTAATACGGGACGCTATTTTCTTTGGATGTAAATATATTTTATTTTTTTCTTTCATAATGTCTTTTATAGTTATTATCTTTTAGGAAGTACATTTATTTACTGATAATGTTATGTAAATATTACTTTACTGTTCACGAATAAAGTTATTTTTAATGAATGTTACCATAGATTCATTTAAGCAAACCTATTTTCATTTATAGATTAAATAGTTAACTTCCAACAATGTAAAACATAACTCGTATCGGAACATGTATAAATACATGTTTTAAACAAATTAAAAACTATCCAAGAACATGTTTGAAAATAACTCATTTTTGTAATAATCAAAACCACATTCAGAGATTTTATCAAATCAAGAAAAGTCACAAAAACACTATGAAATTAATAGTCACGCAAGCACGGGGCGAACAAAGAAATATGTTGCTTTTGAAACGTTTTTAAAAGGTTTATGAACTTATATCTTATAATCTTTGGTTCTAAAGTTTAACAAAATTAGGTATTTGAGTGGCCATTTTTTTCTTTTTCAATACATTTTATTTCGTGTTTATTGTTGTAAAATAGAATATTGTTAATGCTGTCATTGCATTTGCGTATTGTACTAAACTTTATGTCCTTACTATTAAAATATAATTGTTTGGTGTTGGATACTCATATATATAAAGTTATAATGAACGAGCGATTGTAAACTTTGTTGACCTTACAATTAAAGGAGTTATTACTAGCTGTCGTGCGCGATCCCGTTCGCGTAAAGTTAAAAAAAAAAAACTTAATTAGTAGCCTATGTGTTCTTCCAGCCCTAGTCCTAGTAAAGGTCTAGTCATCCCTAACCTAGGGTAGGCTCCGAGCCCCTTATTGGGGACTTATAGTGAGCTGTATTTAAGCTAAATTTGAGCTAGATCTATGCAGCCGTTCTGGAGATATCGTTACTGATATATCCAAATTCGCATTTATAATATAAGTAAGATATTTTCTTGGGCCCACTCTGGAATAAAATGATTTTTTTTTAATCTAATGCAATTAAAATTAGTACTTGAAAGACAATTTTTGTAAAATGTTATTGGGTGCCCATTTTAGTTTTTGAGTTTATTCCTAATACTAAAAGTATAAGAGTGTGTATTAAGCTGCAAAAATAATATGTTAAAAGTTACAACCGTCATCGTATAGTCATTGCATTAAAATGTGTGCAGCGCCTCTATCGGCCGTCAAGTACACCAAAAATGTCACAAATTTTGACAAATGACCATGACTACGAAGACGCATGTCGTAAATCTTGCTAGACCTAATGGACGGCTTCATATCAAATTGAAGTAAAAGGTATAACAAGAATGTACTCTAATAGGAATGTAGAAGGTATTAAAATTGAACAATCGCTCTGTTCATTATAATATTATGTGTATAATCTTTACAAATACCCTGGTACTTGTTATAATTGTTTTATCCACGCTTTGAATGTTGTATGTGTTGCACACACGTGGTGTATAGCGGTGGGAGCAGGCAATAAATCTGCTCAATACATCCTCGTTAAACATTTGCAATTTATTTATTATTTTAATAAAGTTTTTACAAATAATTCGTTTCATTTATTTGGTAAAAGAACGGGCATACGGGTAACGTGATAATTAGATATTCAACAAAATGCTTTTATTGGAACACCCTGTAACATCGGAAAATTGACAGATGTCAAGTGTCATTACATTTCGTCCGAGTAGACGTGCCGGAGGCCTATAAGTCCTTTTCCCCTTTCCACCCTTTCCTTAAATGTAAAATATGAGAAGGAGAAGTGGATTTTGCAGAAGAGGGAGCGAATACTAAGGAGAAATATATATAGAATTCTCTGTGCGTCCCGTCCTCCGTCGATTAAAGATAGGTAACGCAACTGCAATCGGTTAAGTTAATCGGGTAAAGGCCGCTTTGCGTAAGCCAAGTTATAATATTAAAAAATTAGACATGAAAACTATCGATGGTTAAGTTATCATAAGGATGATTGTCAACCAATATTAGTTAAAAATTTGCGACATAAACGGTTGTAACTTTTGATTGCGTTGCTTTAGAAGTTTTATTTTTTCACAACACCAAAGGACCGCAGACCTGAGTATTTGATATAAATTCCAGCTTGACAGACAGAGGGACGGACAACAAAGCGATCCTATAAGAGTTCCTTTTTTTTCGTATGGGTTTAGGTACGGAACCTTAAAAATATATTTCATGTGTTTACGAGATGGGTGAAGGTCGACATCCCACCGGTTCTTAGACTAAAATGTACATATGTCGTTGGAGAATTAATCATTTATTTAAAACGTGCTTTAACACGTGCCATTTTGTCATATACATACTCCGTATACATAACAGCGTAATTAATTCGCATTACATATAGTATTTCTTATATGTTGACCTTATAACAAGCATAAAATTCCAAATTATTAATAGTATGTAATTAATTAAGTTACTAATTAAAAATTTCTAGGTGTGATTCAGCCTGAAGCTTTAATTAGGTGGCCATGGGCTTGTGCGTTCAACATACATAACATAGCAAATGTTTAGTTATAATATTTCTTATTATCGCAACACTTTTGTATTAGCCTGTAAGAAAATACAACACGCTAAGATCATCGAACTTTGGACATATCAAATAACCTCTTTTGAAATGAACTTAATGGTAAGATTGTATGTTTAAAGAATTAAAGGTTTTTATACGTACAATTTAAAATATAAAAGATACTGCTGCTTAGTTCTTTCTGTCATATCTTAGTTGAACATCCTCCTAAGGCTTAATATAAAAAGTGCTTTGTGTCACTTTTTTTCATAACTCTAACGATGTATTTTGGGAATTCCAATGCACTTAAAGCACAATATAATGATGTATTATTACATTGTTTGAGGATTCCCTGCGAATCTCAGACGATATAACTATAAAAAAGGCATTAAAACTGTGCAAGTTAATCATATACCATTTTTTAGTATTATAAGCAATAAATATTCCGAAAAAATATCTGACAGTAATAGTTTACGTTTATATTGAGCGGTAAAATTTTTAAGCTATACTAATACTAGCTGCCGTCCTTGGCTCCGTGCGCGGAAAGATCAATAATTGTAATAAAAATTACACTATACACAAGTTTCTGTTTTTTTAATGTATACATACTTGTACATCTGACTGTACTGACAAAATGTAAGCCAGACATCAGTTGCAGTTTACTTATTCGTATTTTCGCTATACGCTAATCAAATTAAATCACTCTTCTATATTAAATATGCATTCCTTTTATGTTACATATTATACGCTTCGCAAAAATATCTTATTAATACATCTATGCAAATACATAAACGACATATAACGCTATATGTCCTAATGTCAAAGGAAAATCACTCTCTATATCAAGAATATTAGCAAATAACTAGCAAGTATGTGTAAAATGGCAATATTCGCATTAAACGATTGTTTTCAATATCAAATAAAAAATAATATAATATAACAGTAGGTAAAGGAGGACTTCAGACATATAATTCAAAGATATGTGTGAAGTCAACCAACCCGCACTTGGACAGCGTGGTTGACTATGGCCTGATCACCCTTAACTTAGGGTAGGCACCGAGCCCCTCAGTGGTGACGTATAGTGAGCTAATGATGATAATATAAAGGAGACACATGTCTTTTTAATTGAACATTCCGTATAAACTAAAAAAACATTGCACGTTTAATAATATCCCAAATATCAATACAACTTTTACCCATCTATCTAAAATAACACAGGAATATAAAACACAAAGACTAAAGGACTTGCTTTTGAAAACAACTCATTAAACAGAAACCCGTTGTTAAGGATTTTACACCTTTGCCGTGAATTCTAAAATACTCGTATTGTGTACACTATTCGCCGAGATTGTCATCAATAAATCATTACAAAGGAAAATTAATGCAATTGACCACATTAATTGCAGCTAATATTTTTGTTAACTTAACTTGCTGTTTGCCAAATAAACCAAACCGCAAATAGGATGGCAAAAAAGCCTTAGCAAATCAAGTTAATTAGGTATAATTTGCAGTAACTACTGTGCTGACCTGAGACATTGTAAATATTGTCATCCCTCAAATTCTCTTCGAAGAGACAAAGACGACAATATGTTTAAAACAAGTATCAATTCAGTGGAATTCAACGATTACTACGAGACTGAAAATAATCATGTAAACATACCGAGATCATGCTAAAGTGACATTCAAGTGACAAAAACTAACGCGTCACATGACAGACGGATTATTAGCAAATATCTGTAAATCAAATGAGATTTTTATTCGTATTTTGGATGTTAAACAACAAATGTTTTACAAACAATATATTTTAAGATGTCATCATTATAAATAATTGTACATGTTCAGGCAAAGGTGAAGTTAAAACAAATATCGATCAGTATTTTAACAACATTAGACGGATTTATTTTTAAGTAGCCTAAGTAATTATTGTTTTAACTTAATAAGTAACTCGCATATATTATTGCAATTTGATTTTCTATTAAGTAATATTTACTGTGCATGCTTATTATTATCTTATGTCGTATTTATTATTCAATGATTTACAAAATCATCATCTACTCACCGCTAACTTAGGCTCCGAGCCCCTAAGTGGGGAAGGATAGTGAGCTGATGATGACGATCTTCTCCCGGTGCTTGGCAGACTTGCGTAAGGTCGGCGCACCAAGTTTCCGTTTTCCACATCAATCTATCTGCCATCATCTCCGTCGTCTCCCCCTTCCTAATCATGTCACCTTTCACGCAATTTATCTCTTAGGCCTACCTCTACAACCAAATTTATAAAATGTAAATAAAATATATATTGATAATAAATAATGTAACGCTTTATTCATAATAATGTACCGTTATAATTACCTATAGAAGCTATTCCTCTCCATCTTTGCTGTTGCAGTCAGACTGGTCGTGGTCATCATGTGTGATCCGCTTACAAGTCATCACCACTCCTCCTTATTCTCTGTATTATTTGCATATTGGTAATAGACGTTATCAACCTTACTGACCTAATTAAATTAAAAAACAAACATCTATTTTTCATCTAATACAGAACTTGTTAATAAATAAAACGTGTGATGTACATCCTTGTTCAATAAAAAATGGGATATCTAATTTTATTGCGTTACAAATTCCTTCCATAATAATGTTTATAAAATACATTTTTATACCTGAATTAATCGATCCAATTATAATGATGACGCTTTTAAATTTGAAATCAACATACGGCGGACTACGAATAATTCAATAAAAATCATGGGTACGTCATATTATCGTTGGGGATATCCGTGCACGTGTTTTTGAATCACGTGCAAAATTTTTATAGACATAAATTCTCTCTAATTTTGTATATTTTCAGTTAACACAACCTGTTCGTATGCGTGAAGTAAGACTGCATTCGAAATCTATACTAATATTATAAAGCGGAATAGTTTGTTTGTAAACACGCTAATATCAGAACCTACTGGTTCAATTCCAAAAAATATTTTTTTGTTGAATATTCCATTTAAAGAGGAAGGCTTTAGGCTGTACAAAATTACGCTACGACCAATAGTTTTTTTTAATTCCGCGCGGACGGAGTCGCGGGCGACATCTAGTTAGATATAATGTAATTTAAGAGCTAGCTAAAAGCAGACAACACATATTTTATGAAACCTGAAAGTTTTTTTATTGAGATCTCTATGCTTGTTGAATAAAACATGATGACTAATAAATAAAGGTTGCGTTAAATTCACACTGGTGGGGCAGGTAAAGATCGGGTTGATTTAAATGTCAGAAAGCTGTCGTTTTAATATTAGAAGAAAAGGAATATAAACATTAGAAGTTTCTAATGTAACACTTTGAACTTATATT